GGAACACATCATGCTGAGTGAAATAAGCCAGTCCCAAAGGGATAAGTACCATATGTTCTCCCTGATCGGTGACAACTGACTGAACACCAAAAAGGAAACCTGTTGAAGTGAAATGGACACTATGGGAAACGGTGACTTGATCAGCATAGCCCTGTTAATGAACAACTTAATACATTATCCCTCTTAGTAGTTTTTGTTGTCTGTTCTACTTAATATGACTGGTTTAATTCTGTAATTAATACACAGTTATTCTTAAGTGTTGAAAATTAACTGAAATGTGATCCCTGTTAAACATAAGGGTGGGAATAAGAGAGGGAAGAGATGTATAATTTGGGACATGCTCAAGCTGACTTGCTCCAAATGGTAGAGTTAGAAACATATCAGGAGATTGCAATTCAATCCCATCAAGGTGGCATGTACCAATGCCATCTCACTACTCCAAGTGATCAATTTCAGTTCACAATTGATCATAATGAAAGGACTAAGAGTCAAAGGGAGCACATAAACAAGTCTAGTACCTGCTAACACTAACCGATGGAATAAATAAAGGGGAGAGTGATCCAACATGGGAAGTGAGATACTCAGCAGACTCATAGAATGGCAGATGTCCTAAATAGCACTCTGGCCTCAGAATCAGCCCTAAAGGCATTCGGATCTGGCTGAAGAGCCCATGAGAGTATTTCAGGCATGGAAAGCCAAGACACTCTGGCAAAAGATCTCTGTGAGTGAGATCCCAGTGGAAAGAACAGGTCATCAAAGAAGGAGGTACCTTTCTCTGAAGGGAGGAGAGAACCTCCTCTTTGACTATGACGTTGTCTAAACAAGATAAGTCGGAGAACTCAGAGGGCTTCCATAGCCTTGGAAACTCATGACTGGAGCATAGGGAGATTACTGATGCCATAGACAGGAGTGTCAATTGGTAAAGTCAACAACAGGAGTCACTGTGCACTTACTCCTCATGTAGGATCTCTGTCCTTAATGTGCTGTGCATTGAGATTTAATGCTATAACGAGTACTCAAACAATATATTTCACTTGGTGTTTCTATGGGGGTGCAAACTGTTGAAATCTTTACTTAATGCATACTAAACTGATCTTCTGTAAAAAAAAAAAAAGAAATTATCAATTCCCAACTTGACTCTCACTGGGATTAAACATGACAATAGGTCTGATCTGATTTCATCATCATTTAAAAAATCATCTATTATTTTTCACTTTATGTTTCTGTGTGGGAGCAAACTGTTGAAATCCTTACTTAATGTATACTAAGCTGATCTTCTGTATATTAAGATAATCGAAAATGAATCTTGATGTGAATGGAAGGGGAGAGGGAGTGGGAAAGGGGAGGGTTGTGGGTGGGAGGGACGGTATGTGGGGGAAGCCACTGTAATCCATAAGTCGTACTTTGGAAATTTATATTCATTAAATAAAAGTTAAAAAAAAAATCACCAAAAAAAAATAGTAGTATCAGGAAGAAATTGGTAGAGAGTGAGAAAATCATTTTCATAACCAAAGTGTGGCAACATTAAAAGCACTAATCACTAAAAAGAAAAAGAAAAAAAAGTACCCGGCATTGAAAACCAGGAGGATAGTTCTAGCCCTGTCTCTTCCTTCAACTGGTTGCGTAATCAGAACAAGTGACTTACCTCCTCTGGGCCTCGTACTTTCAATTCCCCAAAGAAAAAGGATGGACTAGAAGTTCTCAAAGAATTGGTGTTCTGTCAATTTTGTTTTTTTTTTTTTGCAAGGGAAAACTAAACAAGTATGCTGAGTGAACAACACTGTAGCAAACGAATGATAAATATAGGGATCTGGCAGTTAAGGTTTATAAGGGGCCAGACACTAGGAACATTCTTGCCAGCTTCTTGCTATGTTCTTCTTGTCCTCCTCCTTCCAGTCCTGTAGCTAACCACACTATCCCAACCTCTCACTGCAAAGCTGGTCTGTACAACTCAGAATTTATGGTGGCCTTGCTGCTGAAACGCAGTATTCATATCTAGTCACAAAAAAATCCAACCATACCAGTCTCTTGTGTGATTACTTCATAAGAAAGAAGTTGGGGCCGGCACTGTGACACAGTAGGCTAAGCCTCTGCCTGCAGCACCAGCATCCCATGTTAGGTGCCGGTTTGTCTCCCAGCTGCTCCTCTTCTGACCCAGCTCTCTCTGCTTATGGCCTGGGAAAGTAATAGAAAATGGGCCAAGCTTTCGGGCCCTTGTGCCCATGTAGGAGATCCTGAAGAATCTCCAGGCTCCTAACATCTGATAGGCCCAGCTCTGGCCATTGCAGACATTTGGGGAGTGAATTAGCAGATGAAAGACCTTTCTCTCTGTCTCTCTCTCTGTAACTTTACCTCTCAATTAGATAAACAAAATCTTAAAAAATAGAAAAAAAGAATTCAAGAGCAAAATTGGAAGGAAGAACTTTCATGTGGCAAGACCATACATGTTGGGCTGAAGCAGGATAAAAGATTTGTTTATAATGCACAGAACTCAAAACTAAACTCAAAATGATCAGCAACACCTCTAAACCACTTAGAGGTGGAAGTAGGTAGATCATTCCAGTTCAAGTTCATTCATGTTTGAGCAAGTAAATGTGTACATGTAAACATTTATAGACAGGAGAATATAAATAAATCAGATATCATATTATAGAATCACAAATGATTGCTGCTGATTCTGAAAAAAGAAATAGAATTGTGAGTCAAACTTACAGCTGGTAGAGTGCCACTGACTGGTGTACTCTTGCAACAAAGACTAGGATTCATTCAAGGAAGGACTGCTGTCTCAATTAGATCAATGAAAATCATTTCAGACATTTCTAGTAAAATATTGGAAAAGAAAGCATTCTTTTTATTGAATTTGAAGCTGGAGTTACCACACGGAGAAAGACTGCCAACCTTCCACAACCAACGTGATGGAAGCATTAACACTTTTCCCTCCAACTATTAATTCTGGATACCATTCAATTCTTTTTTGTGTTTAAGTCAGTGTGTTATTAAGATTTCCCTGGATAGTAAGACTAAGGAATCTTCATGTATGCCTGAATTTCTGACTGATCAAATGAGTTATAAATATAACTGAACATTATAATCCTTGATATGAAAAAAGAAAGTCCTAAGTATAACAATGGACTGACCAAGAATTCTGTAAAAGGAGGATTCTTGGATCACACATGGCAAGTCACCTTGAAACAAATATTTTTCATATTGTAAAATTCTAATACAAGTATGTGAAATCAAGAAGACAAATGTTAAGATAATTGGGAAAGGACTCTGAAAGTAATACAGGAGATAAGAATTAAAAATGTGTACTAGTTGAGAACATGCTGGTTGAGTGTTCTATCAGTAGAATATATTACTAGGAGTATGGGGAGATGGGAATGCAGGATCAACTTAATTAGAACAACAATGTTTCTTAAATGCTAGAAAAAGCAAAAATTACCTGAGAGTCTATTAAAATGAATATTTCCAGCATTTTTCTGGAGTGACTATTGATTAGGTTTGGAATAGATGACTATGTCTACTGTTCCCTTCCCCAACTGCTGATGGAGAGACCACACAGGAAGACATCAGGAAAAAGAGCACTGTTTCAGAGGACAGGTAGGTGTTCTGAATGTTCAGAATAGTTTTATTTATCACACAAATCACTGAGTCATAGCAGCAACTTTCAAGTTACATGTTGGCTACTCATTAGAGGGGTCCAAAATCAATTTAGTGAGACCAGGATTATGGTAAAAATAAAAGATATGCATATAAAGGTTAACATTGTTTGTGAATTGTGTGTTCAGAGGGGTGTGTGTGTGTGTGTGTGTGTGTGTGTATCTGTGTGTGTCTGTGTCTGTCTGTGTGTGTAGAAGATACAAAATGCATTCCTTATTATAAGGTTACACTCAGAAAAGTCTGAAAGTCGTAGGTTTGAATTAGCGCAAAAAAGGTGGACTACAGAACTGTCCAAGCCAAATCTTCAATAATAATTGTTTTATGAATGGAAAAGCTCTATAAGGAAGGATCGTTAGAATGGATTGAACTTCTGGAATAATTTCTGAGATTTATGAAACACCTGGAGAAAGAAGTCATAGTTTTCAGAGCACAAATCTTCAACAGCACAATTAATTTTTTGCTACATGCTTTATTCTTGCTGATGTTGTAAACGGGATTGTTTTCTTAATTATTTTAGATAATTCATTGTCAAAGGTATTGAAATAACAATGAAAGGAAATGCAACTTACTTTTCTATATTGCTTTTGAATCCTACCACTTTGCTAAATTCATTTATTAGTTTTTAACTCTGTGTGTGTGTGTGTGTGTGTAGGATATTCATGCTATCCATAAACAGATAATTTCATTTCATCCTTTCCAACTTGGATGCATGCTTTTTATTTCTTTTATGGCTAAGTGCTCTGGCAAAAGGAGCAGAGAGTGGAATGGTGGCTGTGAGGGGCTAAGGTATGGAGGTTTAGGGAGGTACCAGTCAAAACTGTCTGTATAAAGATATGTAAGTCTTGGAGATCACTGTACAACTTAGTGCCTATAGTTAATTATGCTATACTATACAGTTATAATGTTAAGAAGGTGTATATTAAGCCTTCTTATCACAAAAATATTAACAGTAATTATAAATAAGAGAACAGAATAAAACTTTTAGAGGTGATGGATAGCTTTATGGTAAGGATTGTGGCGCTGGTTTCATAGGTTCTTCAAATGTGCAATTATCTGAGATCTGTGGTTGATAGTATGATTAGGTTCTTAGATTTCAACATCTTTTCAAGAGACGGTATGTTGGTTTCACTGAGTGTGTACTTACTTTCTATGTCACCAACTTGTATACTTAATCATGTACAACTTTTGAGATATCAAAAAAATTTAAACAATGAATGTTGGGGGGAAATTATATTATTGAAAAGTCATAAAAAGAGTAACAATCTACTTCATATATTTTAATGTAGAAATAAACTACGATATCTTTTACCTACCACCTCAGATGCCTGAGCAAGCCTTACCTGAAAGTGGTTTTTGGTAAGAAACACATTGATGTCTCCACAAAGAAATGGCAGATCTCTGTCGATTTTGCAGTCCATTTAGTCTTTCGGCTAGCCCACCTCTGTTTAATGAATTATAATGTATTATGTTTAGTTAAAAGAAAATTTATATTTTATATTTACCAACCAGAGACAAATAGATAAAACGTGAAAGTTTAACATTACATTTCTTCCTCTTAGCTCATTTTTTAATTTTCTTGAAAGCTAAGTTTTCTGATTCTTATAAAAATGGGCTAATAGGTTTATTCTAAGAATATCACTTTTTTAGAAATTACAGCTAAAATCAGTTTAACTCATTTTCCATTTTTAGTAGTTCAGGTGTTCATTCCCTAAACATGTACTACTTGCTTATTATATGCTATATGCTGGCCCTAGAACTTTGTTAGGGAATACAGACAGAAAGACAACCCTGAGCAATGTCTGGGGTGAGGGTGTTCACAATGGGTTGAGCAGATGTGGGCAAACAGATAAATGTAAAGTGGGTTCAGAGTCCCAGTCAAGAAAAACCCTGCCAAATTGTATGTGTGTAGGCATGAGCCCCTTATATGAAGTGCAGAGATAATCGATTATCAATCACAGACACATAGCAAGGATACTAACATTATTAAAACTTCCACAGATGGCAGGGAGACAATTCATAACACTGAACATTACAGTCACTTCATCTGAAACTTTACCTACCAATTGTATATAGATATGTTCAGATACATAAAATTTTAAAAATTATAAATATATAAGTATGTATTGATACATACTTATATGTTGTATATATGTGTGCATATATATAGATACAGATATATTTAGAGAAAAAATTCTATGCTTCTAACACATCTGTACTCTCCAGAGAAATCAAACCAACTATCAATTACTATTATGGCTGCACACTACATAATTTGTCAATGTATTATATCCTAAGATTATGTCTTATTTTAATAATCATTTTACTACACTGCTTTGTTTTATTCAAATTATGTCCTTCTAAGGTAGAAAGAACAAATCTGAACTCCCACCTCACAGATGCAAACAGAGGTCAGAGAAAGGTTAAGGAACTTCTCTAATATTACACAACAGCTTAGATGAGGAATCAGGCCTTAAAGCCGGGGGACTTCCAACACTACCTTGTATAGAGTAAACTCTCAAGAAATGCCCATGATGGATGTTACTGTTTTTGCTTGCATTTTACTCGCACACTTATACTCCTTCCACTATGATCAGATGGTCTTATTTTACTAAATACATGTTCTTATTCATTATTGCTACCACCTACTGTGTTTTCCAACAGGAACTTATTATTTCTGAATGCTTGTGTGTGTGTATATACACATCAGAACATTTTTTTTAAAGATTTATTTAGGATTGGGTGCTGTGGCACAGTGGGTTAATCCTCTGCCTGTGGCACCGGCATCCAATATGGGCATCGGTTCAAGTCCTGGCTGCTCCTCTTCAAATCCAGCTCTATGCTTTAGCTTGGGAAAGCAGTGGAAGATGGCCAAAGCACTTGGGCTCCTGCACCCACATGAGAGACCCCAAGGAAGCTCCTGGCTCCTGGCTTCAAATTGGCTCAGCTCTGGCCATTGTGGCCATTTGGGGAGTGAACCAGCTGATGGAGGACCTTTCTCTCTGTCTCTCCCTCTCACCATCTGTAACTCTACCTCTCAAATAAATATATAGAAATATTTTATTTAAAAAAAGATTTATTTATTTGAGAGGCAGAGCTACAGAGAGGCAGAGGCAGAGAGAGAGAGAGAAAGTGCTTCCATCTGCTGGTTCACTCCCCAAATGGCTGCAACAGCCAGAGCTGGGCTGAGCCAAAGCCCGGAGCAAGGAGCTTCTTCCGGGTCTCCCATGTAGGTGCAGGAGCCCAAGGACTTAAGCCATAGTACACTGCTCTCCCAGGCTGTAGCAGAGAGCTGGATCAGAAGTGGAGCAGCCGGGACTTGAACTAGCACCCATATGGGATGCCGGACAGCAGGCAGTAGCTTTACCTGATATGCCACAGGACCAGCCCCACGAAAATATTTCTTAAAAATCACCTTCATGCTCAGAAATATACTCAAGAATCTCTACTTTGCATACAAGTACATGTCTACCTCTATTTGATATGTATGCCTTTCTTCATGAAGTCACTCATTTATATCCCTCTCACTCTAAACAAAATTATGAAAACATTACTATTATTGTCCCCATATCACAGATGACAAACTGAGGCTCCAAGATATTAAATATCTGCCTTACAGTGAGTGGAATAATGAGAGGTGCAGCTAGATGCATGCCCCAAGTGGTCTGACTTCAGACTCTGTGCCCTAAATCTAGGTAACATACCTACCATCTCTTAATTGTACTAATTAAAATTGCATTAGTAGAGGTAGGCATTTCACCTAGGTTAAGATGCTTGCTTCTCATATTGGAGTTCCTGGCTTCAATTTGCCCTCAGAGTTCCCTATAACAGTTTCCTACCAGTGCAGACCCTGTCACTCATGTGAGAGACCCAGATTGAATTCCTAACTCCTGGCTTTGGCCTGGCACAGCCCCAGCTGTTGTGGGAATTTGTAGAGTGAACCAGCAGATGGGAACTTGGTATCTCTTTCTGGCTTTCTCTCTGTCTCTCCCTACCTTTCCCTTTTTAGTTCCCTACCACTCAAATAAAAAAGAAATAAAATTATATTCATAATATGAGAAATATTTCAAAAAGTATAAATGTACAACTATCTAGATAATTATTGGCCAAATGTTGGTTTTCAAAGCAATGGCTTTACAGAGAAAAAAAAGAAGACAAAATGGAATCTGAAAGTACTATCTGATTAAAGTCAAATCTAGAATTCAATAAAAGACTACAGAGTTATAGGATTAAAAGCCAGAGTAACATGAGTTTAGGGGTTCTCTACAGCTGGGAGTTTCCAAATCCTGGAGGAAATCTGCCTCTGAGTCCAGACACTAAAGGCTGTACAACAGGCAACTGCTAGGTTTCCTGTTATCTCTGCTTCAAATCTACCCACAGAGTTCCTGGTCAGATGTACCTGAATTTAAGAATGGACACACCAAGTCCTCTAATAAAAAATTCTATTTCTAATAAAAACTTAGTCTACATTAAAAAGAGAGAGAGAAATGGAAAATTAAGGAAGGCCTTGTTATCTACATCAAAGTCCACTGTTTTCCATACAATTGGTCAAGTTATTCACAGATGATGTCCTAAACTCCATGCCATTATTACGGCTGCTCTCAGAACCTTTTTTGTTTGTTTTGTTTTTAACTTTTATTTAATAAATATAAATTTCCAAAGCACAGTTTATGGATTACAATGGCTTTTTCTCCCCCCATAACTTCCCTCCCACCTGCAACCCTCCCAACTCCCATTTCCTCTCCCATTCCATTCACATCAAGATCCATTTTCAATTCTCTTCATATACAGAAGATCAGTTTAGTATAAATTAAGTGAAAATTCCAACAGTTTGCACCCACACCAAAACACAAAGTGTAAAATACTGTTTGAGTACTACTTATACCATTAATTCACATTGTACAACACATTAAGGACAGAGATCCTACATGAGGAGTAAGGGCACAGTGACTCCCGTTGTTGACTTAACAAATTGACATTCTCGTTTATGGCGTCAGTAATCTCCCTAGGCTCTAGTCATGAGCTGCCAAGGCTATGGGAGCATTTTGAGTTCGCCGACTCTGATCTTATTTAAATGAGGTCATAGTCAAAGTGGAAGTTCTCTCCTTCCTTCAGAAAAAGGTACCTCCTTCTTTGATGGCCCGTTCTTTCCACTGGGATCTCACTCGCACAGATCTTTCATTTAGGTGTGTGGGTTTTTTTTTTTTTTTTTTTTTTTTTTTTTTTGCCAGAGTGTCTTGGCTTTCCATGCTTAAAATATTCTCATGGCTCTTCAGCCAGATACAAATGCCTTAAGGGCTAATTCGCTCTCAGAACTTTTATCAGTTCCTTTGATGTATCATTACACAATCCCCATAAGCTGCCCATTCTACCATTGTTAGCCCCAGGTTTGACTCTGTACTGGTTGGTCAATCTCAAATTTAATTCATTATCACCACTGCCAACAGGACCTTATTCTACCAGACAGTATCAAGCATTCCCCAGCTCACTCATTCCCTCTCTGTGACTATCACAAACTCTCTCCCTGCAAATTCCACAACTTCCTCTTCATCTTCTCTATCATCTCAGGAAGGAAATTCCTGTTAAGAATCTGTTCCCAAGCCACATATATCTACCTATATATGCATGGATTTCATTCTTCCACCTGTCGATAGATGGACTATCTGTACTCCTGACCAGATTCATCCCCATACCTGCATGGACTCTACCCCACCTATGCACAGGTGCACAGCCAGAGCTGGCATGGTGAATGATGTGCACCAACAGGAGTGACGACCTGGTGAGAATCTCAGGGCATGCTTCATCACTGTCTTCCTCTCCACTGCTCTGAAATTTTCTCCTCTCCCAGGCCTTTCCCACTAAGACATAAACAAGTTGAAATTTCTCCCAACTTAAAAAATGAAACCTCAGTCTCACATTCTCCTCCTACTAATACCGTGTTGATCTCCTTCCCTTAAAGCAGAACTCCTCTATAGAGTTCTGTCTTCAGCTCCTCTCTCTTCATTCTCTCTGGGATCTTTAGTCGTCTCCTTTATCTGACCACTATACTGAGACAGCTCCACGTCCTGTTCCTCACCACATAGCACATCCACAATTCATCACGCTCTCTCCTCCTAGAGACACTTCTTCACTACTCTGCAGGCCACCATACTCTCTCATTTTGGTTCCCCCTCAGCAGCCTCTTCCTCCACACCTGACGCTGCCAGGTGCTGGATTCTCCTCTCAATCTGTACCAGATCCCCTGCAGACTGACTGAGCTCTTACTAAAAAATGTCTCGACACTGAAGCACATAAATTCACCTCCCTAGCACCCAAATTATCCATGAAGTCTAGACTTGCATTCCTACTCAGACTCATAATGTTCAACTGAAAATAGTCAAAAGACATGATTTTTCACCCTGAAGAAATGAAAGCAGAACTATCTCATCCCTGCACAGTTTCCTGCCTCATCACAGGAAAGGGCAGCTCCATTTTTCCAGCTGCTGGATATGTCACCTACTCAGGGCTTCCTTGAGCCCTTGGTTTTCTTTTAAATTATTATTTGAGAGACAGAGAGAGATAGGACATTCAGACACAGAGAGAGATCTTCATCTACTGGTTCACTAATAAAATGCCTATAATATCCAGGGTTGGGCTAGGATGATGCTGGGAGCCAGAAATGCAATCTGTGTCTCCAGCATGAGTGGCAGGGACCCAGGTACTTGAGCCATCATCTGCTATCTCCTAGGGTGCATATTAGCAAGAAGCTGAGATCAGAAGTGGAGCTGGGACTCAAACCCAGGCACTCCAATATGGGATTTAGGCATCTTAACTGCTATGACAAATGCCCACCCTCAAGCTCCTGTTTTAAAACTGAAATGACATTGCCCACTCTGGAGCATTCTCTATACCCCCTTCTGCCTTGCTCCATAAATGTACCTTCCTCTGACATTATGTCTACTACATCTTGGCTCCTTTACAGCACTGCAACACAGGCAGAAGCTGTCACATCTACTCACTGCCATGTTTCTTGCACATGAAACAGTACTCAGCACATTGTAGGCCCTTGGGAGGGCTGGGGATGTGAATTTCTGTAATTGGATGACCCTGCCTTTACCAATGAGGATACTCTAATCTCTTTAATGAGCATCCTTCCCTTCCTCTCTAAAGATTACTGCAAACCACCATTAATTCTCTTTTGAGATTACCATTTTTGCACTTTGGGTATAAGGCTTTATGTTCTATTTTATGAAAAACAATATGTTCTATTTTATGAAAAACAATATGGGGAAAAGGCATGAACTTTTTCACCCTGCTAAACCCAAGCCACTAGACCTAGCCACATCCTGCTCTTCCCTCCACTCTGATGCTCAGGGCTGACTGCCCCTCTCCTATTCCCCACCACCACACTGCCCCCCCCCCGGGGGGGGCACTTCCTCTCCAGGATAGTGACAGAGTCATTATCCCACCCTCTCAGCCTCAGCTGAACCTTCACCATTGTCTCAAAGTCTGTATCTCATATTCTCTGCAACCTCTGGAGAGGTTGCAGCCCGTTTAGGCCACCAACAGTCCAGACCCCTCACGCCTGGAATGCAAATTCCCAGCAAGGAGCCATGGGCACCACCCCGTTGCTTCCTCAGCCTGTACTCCTGAGTGCCATCGACCTGCCCTCTCTTGATGAGGAGACACCTCCAGCAGATCCACACCCTACTGCTCCCTGGCCCATATTTACTCTTTCTACTGAGACCCCTTTTCTATGGAATTCTCTTCTACTTTTGCTTTGTGGCACTGTTTCCCATAGGTTCTCTCACTTTTTTTTTTTTTTTTGGACAGGCAGAGTGGACAGTGAGAGAGAGAGAGAGAAAGGTCTTCCTTCCGTTGGTTCACTCCCCAAATGGCCGCTACCGATGGTGCCACACCTATCCGAAGCCAGGAGCCAGGTGCTTCCTCCTGGTCTCCAGTGCAAGTGCAGGGGCCTCCACTCCATCCCGGGCCACAGCAGAGAGCTGGACTGCAAGAGGAGCAACCGGGACAGAATCCGGCACCCCAACCGGGACTAGAACCTGGGGTGCTGGCACCGCAGGCAGAGGATTAGCCTATTGAGCCACGGCGCCGACCTCTCTGTCTCACTTTCAATGGGTTTCTATTTGGCTTTGTATTGTTCTTACTTGTATTTAAAAGAGACCTTGTATGACATGGTTCCTACATGCTCTTTCACACATCCTACTTGGCCCACTGTGGCTACCCCAACCTGATTCTCTTCTCTACTGATAGGGATGATCCTCTACGGTGGTTCTCTACAGACTCTCTGGCTATTTCTTGTCCATGAGTGCTGGCTCTTACATACTTCTTTACATTTCCAAGCACTGCCCTGGCCTATCTCACTCATCACATTCGTGAAAGTAACCTGACAAGGTCTGTATTTGTTTCTATTCTTCAGATAACAAGGTACACAAGAACAGACAGTGGTTCATTTGTGTGTCTTGTATGAGATAGCACCAAGGACATGGATGCTCAAGAAAATTTGGTGGGCAAAGAACAAATCTGCATTCCAGAAAGCAGTTGCATAAGCTGGGCATGTCCGGATTCACCAACACTCATACTGGGTGAACAATTCATTAAGTCTGCTCCAGAATTTAGGATTTCAGTAACTGCTAGTCAGAATTATAATTATGTTCTGCCCATTTTCCTTCTCTAGTAAACAAGTATTTTAAAATTAACATTTTAGATATTTAAGTTTTTAAAGAAAGAAAAAAACTGAAAGAAAAGTATTTTAAAAGTTAGAGTTTAACCTTAAAAACTTCTTCCTTGTTGAATTTTCTGATGTCTTGAAAAATTTGGCCCTCTGTCTCTGGGGTGTACACAAGACAGACTCTGTTGATTTTGCTGATCCAAACTTCAAGTGGTATTTGTGGGGAGATTCTGAATCAATACACAGGGCATCTTCCAAGTCATTATCTTTTTCACTCTCTGAAGAATACTCCAAAATTTCTGTAGAACTTTGCTGAAAAAATTTAAGAGAAATGCAATTAAATATGGAGTGTTTTATCCAAGACCAAATTTATACATGCATGTCATTTGATTCCCTTATAATTACATTTGTTAAAAAAGGTTTTCGGCTGGCACCGCGGCTCACTGGGCTAATCCTCCACCTTGCGACGCTGGCACACCGGGTTCTAGTCCCGGTCGGGGCCCCGGATTCTGTCCCGGTTACCCCTCTTCCAGGCCAACTCTCTGCTGTGGCCAGGGAGTGCAGTGGAGGATGGCCCAGGTACTTGGGCCCTGCACACCATGGGAGACCAGGATAAGTACCTGGCTCCTGCCATTGGATAAGCGCGGTGCGCCGGCCACAGCGGCCATTGGAGGGTGAACCAACGGCAAAGGAAGACCTTTCTCTCTGTCTCTCTCTCTCACTGTCCACTCTGCCTGTCAAAAAAATAAATAAATAAAATAAAACAGGTTTTCAAATACAGTATCTGTAGGTTAAACTTATCTTGTGTCAAAAAAAAAATTGAAACATAGGACTGATTAGGAGGCAAGAAACCAAGGCAAAAATAGAAGAGGATAAAAAGGTATAAAGCAATCATTATCTCACAGAGCCCACTGAGGTCAGTACAAACATTTCAATCTTTCAGCCACAAAAAGACAAATGCCACACATACAGGTGGTCTCCCAAACTGAACAAGTAACCTTAAAGGCTGATGTTAACAGTCACTGTAATCTTAAACTCATTAGGAAAAATATTTTTTGCCTGCTCTGTGGCGTAGTAGGCTAAGCCTCCATCCACGGTGACAGCATCCCATATGGGTAACAGTTCATGTCCTATTCCTCTTCTAATCCAGCTCTCTGTGTGTGGCCTGGGAAAGCAGAAAAGGATGGCCCAAGTGCTTGGGCCCCTTCATCCATGTGGGAGACCCAGAGGAAGCTCCTGGCTCTTGGCTTCAGATCAACCCAACTCCATTTGTACATCTGGTGAGTGAACCAGCAGATGGAAGACCTTTCTCTCTGTCTCTCCCTCTCTGTGTCTGTAACTCTATCTCTCAAATAAATAAATAAAAACACCTAAGAAAAAAGATGAAAACTTAATCTTTCTAGCACAATAGCAATATAATATTTCACAGAGACTACTTGGAAATTGCAGCAGTTATTATTTAACAGTGAGTCATTGTCACATTTTCCTAACATGTCCTAAATGGTTCCTTTTGTCTCCTACTTAAATTTCTGAAAATACACATTTTTCGAGAAGTAGATTATAAAACAAGAATTCAAGCCACCTGGTCAATACTGTAGAGGAGAATCAAAACCTTCTTTCTGATATTTTCTTTTCTTTTTTTTTTCCTTTGAGAACAAGTTTTATTATTAAGTCTCATAATACAAGTCTTTTAGGACAGAGGTCCTGCTTAGGAAGTTAGCACACAGTGACTTCTATTGTTTCTTTGACAATTAACACTCTTATGTATGATGTCAGTGATCACCCAAGGCTCCTGACAAGAGCTGCCTAGGCTATGGGAAGCCTTTTGAATCCACAGATTCCTTAAATATTTCGACAGAGCCATAGGCAAAGTGGAAGCTCTCTCCTCCCTTCAGAGGAAAGTATATTCTTTGGTGGGCACTTCTTTTCACTGGGGTCTCACCCACAGAGGTCCTTAAGGGTTGATGAAGCTCACTGTGTTAATGAAGTTTAGGGCCAATCGTAAGTTTGCAACTGGCCTTTAAGTGAGCCCAGAGAATACCTCTGATTATTCAAGAGAAGCCTTCTTATTTGTATTCTACGGATTATTATAATTGGCACTTTAAACATTTTTATTTTTATTTAACAGGAAGAGGGGCAGACAGAGATGATCTTCCATCTGCTGGTTCAGTCCCCAAATGCTCACAACAGCCAGGGCACGGCCAGGCTAGAGCCAGGAGCCTAGAATTCTATCTGAGTCTCCCACTTAGTTGGCAGGGGCCCAAGCACTTGAGCCACCACCTGATGCCTCCCAGGTTGTGCCTTTAGCAGGGAGACAGATGGAAATGGAGCTCAGACACAGGGTGTCAGATACAGGTGCCTGCTACACCATGGCATTGGACCTGAACACTTCACTTAATTTTGTGGAGCCTCACTTTCTTTCTCTATAGAACAAACCCTCATAGGAATGTTGTAAGTATTAAGTGAGCTAGGGCTTCAGCAAGTGTTGTGTAGCGGGCTAAGGCGCTGCTTGTGACACTAGCATCTCATATGGGCGGTCGAATGAGCAGCTGGTTTGAGCCCCAGATTCTCCATTTCCAATCCAGCTTACCACCCATGGACCTGGGAAAGCAGTGCAAGATAGCTCAAGTGCTTGGTCTCCCAATGCCTGTGTGGAGGACACAGACATAGCTCCCGGCTCCTGGTTTCAGCCTGGTCCAGTCAAGGCTGCCATGGACATCTAGGTAGTGAACCAGCAGATAGAGGATCTCTCTCTCCCTGTTTCTCTCTCTTGGTTACTCTGCCTTTGAAATAGATAAAAAAAAAAATACATACATAAATCCATCTTTTAAAAAAAGTAGAGAAAGGCTGGAATGGCATAGCAGGTAAGGACGCCCCTGCAATGCTGATGTCCCTTATGGGTGCCAGTTCCAGTCCTGGCTGCTCTACTTCTTTTTTCTTTCTTTTTTTTTTTTTTTTTCCTTTCCCAAATAAACTTTTTATTTAATGAATGCAAACTTCACACATTTCATAAGTACAACTTTAGGAATACAGTGATTCTTCCCACTATCTTGTTCTCCCACCCAGAGTCCCACCCCTATTCCTACCCTTCCTCCTCCTCCCTCTCTCATTCCCAGTCCAATTCTCCACAAAGATCCATTTTCAATTCACTCATTCACAGAAGACCAACTCTATACTAAGTACAGAGTTCAAACATTTGCACAGGAAAGAAAAATTGTTCCTGAACAGTTGAGACAAGGGCTTTCAAGTCATTGCCTCTTGAAATTAATTGCATTTTATTTAAGAAAACACTTAATTAACATTAAAGAAGCATACAAGATGGGGCCAGCACCGTGGCTCACTTGGTTAATCCTCTGCCTGTGGCGCCAGCATCCCATATAGGCGCTGGGTTCTAGTCCTGGTTGCTCCTCTTCCAGTCCAGCTCTCTGCTGTGGTCCGGGAGGGCAATGGAGGATGGCCCAAGTGCTTGGGCCCCTGCACCTGCACTGGAGACCAGGAAGAAGCACCTGGCACATCTTCTGTGAGCACTCAGACATAACTATAACTTATGAGACACAAGAATATCCTCCACTTAATACATAAAAAGCAAGTATGTCCTTGAGAATGAGTTTTATCATTAATTAAGGAAGCATCTAAGAAGACAGGCAATGGAATTGGACACTGAGGCATAACTAAAACCTATGTGACATAAGAATATCCTCTACTTAATACATTAAAATGAAATAAATCTTTAAGAACAAGTTTTACTGTTAACTCTCATAATACAACTCTTTGGGGACAGAGGTTGTATTAGCACACAGTGACTCCTATTGTTAATTTAACAATTAACACTCTTATGTACTATGTCAGTGATCACCCGAGACTCTTGACATGAGTTGCCTAGGCTATGGAAGCCTTTTGAATCCACAAATTCCAACAGTATTTAGTCAAGGCCATAAGCGATGTGGAAGTTCTCTCCTCCTTTCACAGAAAAGTACCTCCTTTGACGACCATTTCTTTCCACTGGGATCTCACCCACGGAGGTCCTTCATGTAGGACATTTTTTACTACAGTTTTTGTGGGCTTTTCAGCCAGACCAGAATGCCTTAATAGCTGATTCTGAGGTGAGAGTGCTACTTAAAACAACTCTCACTCTAAGAGTCAGCTATGTTGACTGCTTCTTATGTTGGAGCATTCACTGCTTTTTAATTCTATTTATTATTATTACTTAATCCTATTTATATGATCACTTTAACACTTAATCATATCCATATGATACTTTAACACTTAAGATGGTATTTTTATCACCCAGTGTAAGGGGATTTGGGGTCCCATGGAAGTTTTTAAACTATACCCTTATAAGTAAGTCCATAGGAACATATGCAGAACTATACAGCTTTACAAACTTCATACACTTCATAATTACAACTTTAGGAACATGGTGATTGTTCCCACAGTGCCTGTCTTCCCACACATACTCCCATCCCTCTTCCTGCTCCACCTCTTATTTGCACGCTTATTTTTTTACTAAGATCTATTTTCAAATGACTTTATATACATGTGATTAACTCTATTTTAAGTAAAGAGTTCAGCAAACAGTATTAAAAACAAAACATTCCTCAACAGTCAAGACAAGGGTTGCACAAGTCATTAATTCTCAAAGTGTCTATTTAACTTCTACAGACTGCCTTTTAGGTGCTCTATTAGTTATCATAGGTCAGGGAGAACTTATGGGATTTCTTCCTTTGGGACTGGCTTATTTCACGAAGTATGATGTTTTCCAGATACACTGATTTTGTTGCAAATGACCAGATTTCATTTTATGCTGTGTAGTATTCCATGGTGTACATATGCCATAACTTCTTTATCCAGTCATAAGTTGATGGGCATATGGGTTGATTCTATGTCTTAGCTATTGTGAATTGAGCTGCAATGAACATGGGGTACAGAAAACTGTTTCATATGAAGATCTAATTTTCCTGAGGTGAAGTCCCAAGAGTGGGATGGCTGGGTCATATGGTAGGCTCTTATTCAGATTTTGCAGCTATCTCCACACTGTCTTCCAGTGTGGCTTTACCAGTTTACATTCCAGTTAATAGTGGATTAAGGTTCTTTTTTCTCAACATCCTCACTAGCATTTGTTTTATGTTCAGTTCTGTATGAAAGCCATTATAACTGAGGTGAGGTGAAACCTCATTGTGGTTTTGATTTCCATTTCCCTAATGGCTAGTGATACTGAGTATTTATTCATTTGTCTAATGGCCATGTGGAATTGCACTTTTGAAAAATGTCTCTTTAAGTCCTTGGCCCACTTCTTAACGGGTTGTTTTGTT